GCTATTATTGCCATGGAGGAGCGTGCCGCCGCTCGAGAGATGGATTATCGCCGAGAGCTCGACGCACAACTTGTCGGGGATTTCGGAACAGCACTGGGTGAAATATGTGTATCAAGATCATTTCAAATTGCTGACTTACGGAGAGACCACATCAAATTTAGCATAACAATCCAACAACTGGATCGGGAACGCATGTCGAATCGCCAAGCCTCTCGATACTTTTGGATTGTACTTTCGAAAATTGAGTGAACTTGTGTCATCAAAGAGGCAACTGGCTGCTGCTTGGTTGGGCAAGAGCCCATCCACTAGGTTGGTACCGAAGCTCGCAAAAAAGAGAGAAGATCCCATCAAGGCTGCTGAATCATGCCAAATTACTCTGTGTTTAGCCGGTGCGTACGACGTACTATATTTTGGTCCTACAGCGGAAGACGGATACATACACCTTTGGCGTTTAGTGGATCTACCTGGAGCGGAATGTACATGAGAAATTGGCAGAACATAGACTTTCCATGCAGTAGCAGCAGCTATAAAGGACGGATGAGACTTGGATACTCTGTACAACGCTGAGAAAATGTCCATCGGGTATTTCAAGGAAACGTACAACGTTTCCTTTAAACCGTGGCCAGCTGACGTCATTTTGGAGAAAGATACGGGACTCTTAGTTCCGGCGATACAAGAGAACCCACGTGAGAACGGCAAACGTGGCTAAAACCTGGCCCGAAGCCAAAGCACAAGAGAAAGAAACGAAAGGAGCCCAATAAGGGTGAAGCGTTCAGATAGTTACATTAAAGACACCATCAATACACAGTTTTTTTACGCAGTAGTATTTTTTCTTGTCATGTCGATACTGCACAAGTAATGACATTTTTTATTTGTAGATATTTTATTCTAATGTCATTTTAAGCTAATGAGGGCAAGGAGCCGAAAAAGTGTAGTACGGGTCAATTGCTTCAATAATGAGGTCTTTAATAAGCTATATTTGGTCTAAATCTAAGCTACAAAAGACATGCTACCCGTGTTGCTGTCTAAAAGCATCCAACCAAAAATGGACATTGAATGATGGTGGATATCAATTGTACTGAATGATATTCTGATAGTACTTCCAAATGCGTTTTAGTACTTCTATCATACTATACTGGATAACGTTCTAGCGAAGATCTACTACCTGCGTCCAGTCCAACCGAGCCAGACCCTTCGCGGTGGCCAAGTTGTCTCCAAAACAAACCCACGTGGGTTCTTTCATGGCCTCGTCGTCCAAATCGTCATCTTTAGAGTCGTCACAGTCAAAATCCCACATTCCCACATTGTCTAATTTTTTTTTAATGGAATCAACCTTGCTGTAGTATCGGTTTGCTTCTTTTGGCTTTGCCTTTTGACGAGCTACGGCCTTGGGACCGCATCCGCGTAGACGGTTTAAATGGTTCTTTAGCTTAGTCGGCGAGCTGAAGGTGACCTTGCAGGATGGGCAGGTTCGGGGCAGGCGCTTTTTGGTCGGCCCAGTTTCTCTTTCGAGAGGTTACGGAGTACAGGCCATGGCGTGGATAAAATGGAAGTGAGAAATTAGTTGTGCAAGAGCATGAAGATTCACCAAACGTATTTGGGGGTTGAGCGTCGCTGTATATTACTATTTTGTTACTACCCATGAGTAACACTACTAACGCTTGGGACAACTACTGATCAGTACTTTACACGCATCAAATCAAATCACCAGATCTCAGTACTAACTACTGACATATGGAAATTGCTCTAACGGAACACCAGGGGTGCGGGTGTCTGCGCCAGAAGGTAGGAGGGGTCAATTCACCAGAGAAGTCGGATGCGACAACCACGAAAAAGGTATTATACCACCAGCACAACGCTTAATCTCACATTCCGTGCAAAAGAAGTTGATCGCTTATCTACCGCGTGCACACATTACATCGGTGTTACGGCTGACATATTTTGCACAAACTATAATACTGAAAGCTGTCGGAAGTGAATTGAAATCCGAGGTTTGTGGTGATCTGAAATGTGGTCCTAAACAGTTTCTTCATCTATAGTATTACCAATACAGATAACATCGCTGTAGGTTGCAACCTGTTGTCGAACATTTGAAGCAATATAATGATATGTTCTGGCTGCTTCAGTGCGTTGATCAGGTATACCAGGACAGGGCAAACCTAATTCACGTGTATTTTGTATCACGTGTACACAGATTCCAAACTTCTGGTGAAAACGACGCGCATAAGTCCTTGATCGTGCATCCAATAGCCAACCATTGTCGGGCATATCCTTCCATTGCGTGCGAAGGACATGGATGGCATTTTCGCCTTCTTAGAAACGTCAGCAAACAATGATCCGCTAAATACTTTCTTGGTCGCCGTACCGCTTACTGGGACGATGCATCACTTACTTAGCGCTGGCAGGTCACCAGCTGATGGGAGCTTCGTTGTCTGCATTTTTCGGCGACGAACTGATAAAGTGTGCAGCGCTTTTAGACGGTCGGACACCGAAGGAATACTACTACATTTTGTCGCCATTTTAACAAAAAATAGTCTGGATTTATCTAATCTCGCCACCATTTTAGCTGGAGTCACCTTTGGCGACTTGTAGATTAATTTGAGAGTCCGATTGTATTGCTCCAAAGGGTTGTTCATTTTTGCATATCCTGAGGTGTATGGTATGATTGCCAGTAACTGAGTCTGGGATGCAAAACTCATTGTTCTATAATGTGACCCGCAACTCCTTTAACCCTTTCGTGGCCAATGGGGACATTTTGCCCCCTTTGGAGGGCGTATCCTTGAGTACC